TTTCTCTAATTTCCTTACATGCTTGGCTAGGTGTGGGTTCCAAACTGGTGCTGCATACTCTAATATAGGCCTGACATACACGGTGCACAGGGTCCTGAACAATTCCTTATTGAGATGTCGGTATGCTGTTCTGAGGTTTGCTAGGCGCCCATATGCTGCAGCAGTTATTTGGTTGATGTGTGCCCAGATGTACTCGGTGTTATACTCACCCCAAGATCCTTTTCTTGAGTGAGGTTTGTAGTTTGTGGCCCCCTAGACTGTACTCCATCTGCAGTCTTCTTTGCCCTTCCCTAATCTTCATGACGTTGCACTTAGTGGGGTTGAACTCCAGGAGCCAGTTTCTGGACCAGGCCTGCAGCCTGAGTCTATTCCTTCTATCACTTCGTTCACATATACCAGAAACAGCACCGGTCCTAAGGACTGAACCACTGTGGAACCCTGCTCGTCACGGGTGCCCACTCTGATACCTCATCACGTACCATGACTCGCTGTTGTCTTCCCAACAGGTATTCCCTGATCCACTGCAGTGCCTTCCCTGTTATACCTGCCTGGTCCTCCAGCTTATGCACTAATCTCTTGTGTGGAACTGTCAAAAGCCTTCTTACAGTCCAAGAAAACGCAATCTATGCACCCCTCTCTCTTGTCTTACTGTCACCCTGTCATGGAACTCCAGTAGGTTTGTGACACAGGATATCCCGTCCCTGAAACCGTGCTGGTTGTCGTTGATAAGCTCATTCCTTTCTAGGTGCTCCACCACTCTTCTCCTGATAATCTTCTCCATGACTTTGCATGATATGCACGTCGGTGACACTGATCTGTAGTTTAGTTCTTCGTGTCTGTCTCCTTTTGTAAAAATTGGGACTACATATGCTGTCTTCCATACCTCAGGTAGTCACCCTGTTTTGATAGATGTGTTGAAGATTGTTGTTAGTGACACACATACCACCTCTGCTCCCTCTGTCAGGACCCATGGAGAGATGTTATCTGGCCCCATCACCTTGAAGGCATCTAGCTCGCTTAGCAGCCTCTTCACTTCCTCCTCGGTTGTATGTATTGTGTCCAACACTTGATGGTGTACCCCCACATCTCTGTCTTTCCAGAGTCCCTTCTGTCTCCTCTGTGAACACTTTGAATCTCATGTTGAGCTCCTTACATACCTCTCGGTCATATCTTGTGATCTCCCCTCCTTCCTTCCTTCCTCAGCCTGATTACGTGGTCCTTGACTGTTGTTTTCCTCCTGATGTGACTGTACAACAACTTCGGGTCAGATTTGGCTTTCGCTGCTATGTCATTTTCGTATTGTTGGGCCTCCTTTCTTACCTCTGCATATTCATTTCTGGCTCTATGACTGCACTCCTTAATCTCCTGGGTCCTTTGCCTTCTATACTTCTTCCATTCTCTAGCACACTTGGTTTTGACCTCTCTACACCTTTGAGTGAACCAAGGATTCATCCTGGCCATCTCATTATTTCCGTTACCCTTGGGTACAAACCTCTCCTCAGCTTCCTTGCATATTGTCACATATTCCATCAACTCATTTACTGACTTCCCTGCCAGTGCTCTGTCCCACTGAACCTCATGCAGGAAATTCTTCATCTGAACCTCGTGCAGGAAATTCTTCATGCCTTTGTAGTCACCTCTCTTGTCGTTTGGCTTTGACCTGCCCTTCCTGCTTCCCTCTCCACTTGTAACTCTACTATGTATTTGAAGCTCAGAACCACGTGGTCACTGACCCCAAGGGGTGTTTCATATGTGATGCCCTCAATATGTGCACTATTCAAGGTGAATATTAGGTCCAGTCTTGCTGGTTCTCCCTCTCCTCTCTCTCTGGTAGTGTCCTTTACGTGTTGATACGTGAGGTTTTCCAGTACCACCTCTATCATCTTACCCTTCCACGTTTCTGGGTCCCCATGTGGCTCCAAGTTCTCCCAGTCAATTTCTTTGTGATTGAAGTCACCCACAATCAGTAGCTTTGCCCTGCTTGCATGAGCCCTTCTGGGCACTTCAGCCAGTGTGTCAACCATCGCTCTGTTACTCTCATCATACTCTTGCCTTGGCCTCCTGCTGTTCTGTGGTGGGTTATACATCACTGCAATTACCACCTTGAGATCTCCAGACTGAAGTGTTCCTATTATTTAGTCTCTTGCTTCTCCTCTACCTCTTCTCTCCAGCTCATCAAAATCCCATTGATTTTTGATGAGCAGTGCCACTCCTACACCCCCTCTGTCTTTCCTCAGGATCTAATATCCGATTGGAAAGATGGCATCTGTTATCATTCCCGTGAGCTTGGTTTCGGTGAGAGCTATGATATCTGGTGATGCTTCTTTGATTCTTTTGTGCCACTCCTCCCACTTGTTCATTATTCCATCGGCGTTGGTGTACCATACCTTCAGTTTCCTCTTCAACACTGTGTTCTGGGGGGTCTGTGGGGGTGGGCACCTGGTAGTGTGCTGTGGGATTCTACAGCCTATTGTGGGGTGGGGGTTGTAAGTGTGGATTGTGGTTTGTGTTGGGATAGTGTGTTTGGCTGTGGGGTTCTGATGGTGGTTGTGTGTGTGCTTGCACTTGTTGTTCTGCCTTGCTCTGGTTGTTCTCTGCTGACTCTGTCCTTGTCTCTCTTCCTAGCCCCTTTCATTTCTGTGTCTTTTCCCTCAGCTGCTGTCATTCTGTTCTTGTTCTGTCACAGACTAGGAACACCCTTTTGTATGTTGATTCCTTCCATCATGGTTTTTCTTGCAGGATCTTGTTCTGCACCATTTCTGTCTTGAAAATCGGTTTGATTGGCTGATTTCTTCCCTTCAAGTTCCCTCCTATTCTCTAAAAATTTACTATCTCAGTCACATCCTCCTTGCCTGTTTCTCTTGACATTTTCAGTCTCCTGTTTTTCTTTCTTCCGTCTTTCATTATGTGTGCTCCCTTCACTCTCCTGAAGCCCATGAATAAGCACTGACTTCTCCCTCTCCTCTTCCCATTGCCTTTCCCTCTGTGTCTCTCGGTCCCATTTGTACATAGCCATTGTCTCCCTTATTGTTTCCTGTAACTCTTGGTGGCATGGTCATGCCTCTGCATGGGACCTGTCACCTTCTCTACGTTCTCCCCCCCCCCTCACTGCTATCCCTGCTCCTAACAGCTCTCCCTCTACATTCCTCGGCCTACTTTTGTGGACTGATAGGGCCTTAGCATTAGTCTTGTCTCCTTCCTTTCCATTGGGATCCTTGTTAAATAGGGGTGTACTTGCTTCAGATGCCATGTCTCCTCCGGCCGGGCAATAGGCTTTCAATTCCCTTCATCATATTTACCTCATATTCTAGGGCCTGTATCCTGGCTTCTGCGACCTCAGCTTGTGCCTCCCATTTCTTTTTCTCTGCCTCCACCCTTTTCTCTATTTTTGCAGAAAGCTCACCTAGTATGCTCTTTCACTCTTGTTTCATCCTTTCATCCTTTTACTGTGTTTGTGTGTATTCTGTTATGTCACTTGTTTTCCCCTCGCTCTCAGCTACTCTTCTCATTTTCTTTACTTTCCAGTTGTCGACACTTAATTCAGCAGTCACCCTTCCAGTATCATTATATTCCAGATTATTCAGTGTAAACAGTGTATTATTATTATTATTATTATAATCAAGGGGGAAGCACTAAACCCGTAGGATTATACAGCGCCTATGGGGGGATGGAAGGCATTCAGGCTTAATTCAGGGAACCGGAGCACAGATCCAATTCCCTAGATCAAGGGCCCCTCACCAGCGTCAAGGAGCCTTCCTTGAGGGGTGTAAACAGTGTAGGCTTGATCCTGTCCACTAAACCAACCATTTATCAACCTTTCTTGCAGTGTCGTTGCTCATTTTGTAATTTTCGGTAGTTATCATTTTTTTTATGTATCCAAGGACGACCTTTAAGCGGTTGCCTGAATTTTTATTTTATTCCATAAACTTTTCGTTATTTCGCTGATAACACGAGACCTCATTTAATTGCATCCAACTTTTCAACGCTCGTTTATGGTAACTAAGCTAAGATTCTTTGAGAAATTGGCATGTGCAGGTTCACTATGCAGAGCTATTGAACCCATTCCCAGCAGTTTGGAATGTCTCCAGTAATTTCCAAAACCCTTTGCTGCTTGGCTTCAAACGTTCAAAAAAGATGCTTTGCATTCCGACGACAGAGGAAGGCGAAATTCAGGTTTGTAGGAGCCACATCTGCCAATTTTCTGTGTAGTGTGCAATATTTGTTTCCGTTTTGTTATTGGTACACGTAAGTCATAATTTTACATTTTTATTGAATAGTGATATTAATTTTCCCCTTAGAAATGAAACAGTTACATGTGGGTGAGACCAAATGTGAGAGTAGATTAGGCATGTCATCTTCCATTAGTTGGTTCTGCCCACATGTGACCACATCTTCAGTTGCTTCATCTCTTAATAGTTAGGGCAGGCTGGTATGGTGCAAGGCGGATAGCGACCTGCATTAAAACAAACTATTTAGGAACCAATATTATTACTTCTTTCACTGGCACCAGTGTAGAAGACTCCGCCCTCCTGCCATTAATAAAATGATATAGGCTGTTGCAGAGGCGAAACGTTTCTCAGTAAAGATACCCTGGTGTTGTACATGTCATGTTCATAAGTTAGATACTATTCTTGGTATTTGACTCTGTTCTCTTTATTATGTCGCAAGACAGTAAAGAGGACCTCAAATACAGGACTCTCTGGGCACCTTGTATAGTTTTTATCAGACATGGTCGTTATATTACTGTTCTGTATAAGTTATTGCTGTGAAGCGGGCAACTATTAAAAAATTTTAATACTTTTTTCGTTTACCACAGCCATCCCACCAGTTTTGAGTGAGCCAAGAAATAAAACATTCACTATCATTCATTCATTCACTCAAAGTTCCATTCTTCTTTATGTTCGTCTCGTGTGGGATTTCCTTTCTGATATTCTTGGTAAGTGAGTACTCAGGTTGTGAGGTGGTTAAGACTGTCAGTACTGATTTTGTTGATGTTGCAGGTTGACTGACTCAGGGGAACGTCGGCGGACCTTAGAGGACCGTCGAGCCCTTCAACCCCTCCACCTCAACCCCACACACGTGAGTATCCCCTCATTCCATCACCTTCCCTCCAGACTCCATCCCTCCTTCACCTTCCCTTCTTCCTCTATGTTTCCCACCATTTTCCCACTTTCCCCTTCGTTCCATCGTGTCTCTAATACCTCCTTCCCTTCTCCCATTCCACTTCCTTTCTCTGCTTGACCTTACAAAACAACTCCCCGACCTACATCACCCCCTCCCACTGTCTCTCTCTCTCTCTCTCTAAGCTTAAGCCAGTTTTAATTTATTTCTACGAGAGTGCCACACCTAGCATTGACATACTGCCACACCTAGCATTGACATACTGCCACACCTAGCATGGATCTAGAGTGCCACACCTAGCATGGATCTAGAGTGCCACACCTAGCATGGACCTCGAGTGCTACACCTAGCATGGACCTAGAGTGCCATACCTAGCATGGACCTTCTAGAGTGCTACACCTAGCATGGACCTAGAGTGCTACACCTAGCATGGACCATCTAGAGTGCCACACCTAGCATGGACCTTCTAGAGTGCTACACCTAGCATGGACCTTCTAGAGTGCTGCACCTAGCAAAGACCTAGAGTGCTACACCTGGCATGGACCTTCTAGAGTGCTACTCCTAACAAGGACCTAGAGTCTACACCTAGCATGGACCTAGAGTGCCACTCCTAGCACGGATCTTCTAGAGTGCTACACTTAGCATGGACCTTCTAGAGTGCCACACCTAGCATGGACCTTCTAGAGTGCTACACCTGGCATGGACCTTCTAGAGTGCTACACCTGGCATGGACCTTCTAGAGTGCTACACCTAGCATGGACCTTCTAGAGTGTCACACCTAGTATGGACCTTCTAGAGTGCTACACCTAGCATGTACCTTCTAGACTGCCACACCTAGCATGGACCTAGAGTGCCACATCTAGCATGGACCTTCTAGAGTGCTAAACCTAGTATGCCCCTAGAATGCCACACCTAGCATGCACCTATAGGGCCACACCTAGAGTACCACACCTAGAGTGCCACACCTAGCATGCCACACCTAGCATGCCACACCTAGAACTCCACACCTAGAACTCCACACCTAGAGTACCACACCTAGAATGCCACACCTAGAGTACCACAACTAGAGTACCACACCTAGAATGCCACACCTAGAGTACCACATGTAGAGTGCCACACAGAGTACAACACCTAGAGTGCAACACCTAGCATGCACCTAGAGTGCAACACCTAGCATGCACCTAGAGTGCTACACCTAGAATGCCACACCTAGCATGGAAATTACACCAGTTAACTATTTTTAAAAGCCCTTTCTTTACAGTATTTAATTCTAATATTTTAAAAATTTGTAACTAAGTTTTTTTTGCATTATTTAACGTTTTAATATTACGTTGTTTGATTACATTGTTTTTTATCTTTTATAACATTTCAACACATGTTATGGGTAAAACTGGTCAATTAGCAAGAACTCATTTAAAATTAAGTCCTTTCTAAAATTTTATATTATACATTTAAAGATCTATATATATTTTTTTCATTTAATATAAAAAATAATAATTTATCAAAAGAACCTTAGAAAACTTTCCTAACCTTATTATAACAAGCGCAATTTAATTTAGCGTAACCCAACTAAATATATTTTAGATATGTTTGCATTAATTTAATAATAAACAAACACAATGAAATATGTTTTTTGATTAGGTTCAGAATGATTTTTGCGACTGTTGCGTATACAAATTTTCACTTGCCTTATTCAGCAAGAAGAGCGTTGTTATTGAAGCCAGAATAGCAAGTTTTACCTATTCGACACGACATATATAAATCCTTAGCTCTGCCAATTGCAACACTCACCCTACCTGTTGCTACACTCACCCTACCTGTTGTTACACTCTACCTTTTGTTACATTCTGTCTCTTGTTACACTCACTCTACCTGTTGTTATACTCTTCCCATTGCTACACCACCTGTGGCTACATCTCCTTGTTTCTATACTCACTCTACCTCTTGCTATGCTCACTTTACCTGTTGCTACACTCATTTCTATGCTCCACTTGTTGCTGCATTCACTCTACCTGTTGCTACACTCTTACTGTTGTTGCACTCATTCTACCTGTTGTTGCACTCATTTTACCTGTTGCTATACTCTTCCTGTTGTTACACTCTACCTGCTGCTGCACTCATTCTACCTGTTGCTGCACTCCTCCTGTTGCTACACTCTTCATGTTGTTACACTCACTCTTCCTGTTTCTGCACTCACTCTTCCTTTTACTACATTCTACTTGTTTTACACTACCTTTTGTTACACTCACTATTCCTGTAGTTACACTACCTGTTGCTACACTCTACCTGTTGCTGCATTCACTGTACCTGTTGCTGTGCTCACTGTACCTGTTACTATGCTCACTGTACCTGTTGCTATGCTCACTGTACCTGTTGCTACACTCACTCTGCCTGTTGTTACACTCACTCTACTTCTTGTTATACTCACTTTGCCTGTTGCTACACCCATTCTACCTGTTTTTACACTCTACCTGTTGCTACACTCACTTATCCTGTTGTTACACTTACAATGTTGTTACACTCGCTTTTCCTGTTACTACATTCTCTCTTCTCGTTATTTGTTATTACACTCACTGCCTATTGCAGTACATCCTGTTTCTAACTTGATATATATATATATATATATATATATATATATATATATATATATATATATATTATATATATACAGTGGACCCCCGCATAGCGACCTTAATCCGTGCAAGAGGGCTGGCTGTTATGCGAAATGTTCGCTATGTGAATGAATTTTCCCCATAAGAAATAATGGAAATCAAATTAATCCGTGCAAGACACCCAAAAGTTTGAAAAAAAAATTTTACCACATGAAATATACATTTTCCTACACACAAAGAGAAGGATACATGCACAATAGTAGAGTAGTACATGCACAATATATATTGTGCATGTACTACTCTACTAAATGAAGAATAAATGACACTTACCTTTATTGAAGATGCAGCAATGACTGATGAGACACTGTGTCCTGGGAGTGCCTTTTCCTCCTGAGTACTGTAGGTCCTGTTTGGCATTTTCTTCCAGAACAGGCCTTATCACACTGTGTATGTCACTACGATTCTTAAATCTCTCAAACCAACCTTTGCTGGCTCTAAATTCACCAATATGAGCACTAGTTCCAGGCATTTTCCCTGTTCACCTGGGTGTTAGTCGACTGGTGTGGGTTGCATCCTGGAGACAAGATTAAGGACCCCAATGGAAATAAGTTAGACAGTCTTCGATGACACTGACTTTTTTGGGCTATCCTGGGTGGCAAATCCTCTGGGGTTAATTGTTTCTTGGTATTCTCAATAAGCCACACCAACAACGGTGCTACAGCAGCAGCAGCAGCAACAGACGATGCTACAGCAGCAACAGACGATGCTACAGCAGCAGCAGACGATGCTACAGCAGCAACTGACGATGTTACAGCAGCAGCAGACGATGCTACAGCAGCAGCAGCAGCAGACGATGCTACAGCAGCAGCAGCAGCTGACGGTGGTACAGCAGCAACAGACGATGCTACAGCAGCAACAGACGATGCTACAGCAGCAGCAGACGATGCTACAGCAGCAGCAGCAGCAGACGATGCTACAGCAGCAGCAGCAGCTGACGGTGGTACAGCAGCAACAGACGATGCTACAGCAGCAGCAGACGGTACTACAGCAGCAGGAGCAGCTGACGGTGGTACAGCAGCAGCAGCTGACAGTGCAGCAGCAGCTGACGGTGATACAGCAGCAGCAGCAGCTGTACCACCAATAGTAGCGATGGTTGATTGGGGTTTATTATACAACCTGGCCAGCTCGGAGACACGCACTCCACTTTCATACTTATCAATGATCTTTTTCTTCATCTCCATAGTAATTCTCACCCTTATTGCTGTAGGGTTGGCACTAGAAGCTTTCTTGGGGCCCATGGTCACTTATTTTCCAGAAAAAAATCACCAAAAACACTGTAATAATACAAAATGTTCCGATTGTATGCTTGGATGTTACCGCGGAGGCTGGCTGGTAAACAATGCCACCCGCGGAACGTGAGCGTGGCTCAGGCCGCACATTGGACGCGTCTCGGACGAAGGCCGCTGAGCGGGTTTTTGGGCGCTATGCGGGGCAAAATTTTAGCGATAAAAGCGTCCGCTATGCGGATTGTCCGCTATGCAAGGCGTCCGTTATGCGGGGGTCCACTGTATATATATATATATATATAATATAATATATATATTATATATATATATATATATAATATATATATATATATATATATATATATATATAATATTTTTTTTTTTTTTTTTTTTTTTTTTCAACAAGTCGGCCGTCTCCCACAGAGGCAGGGTGACCCAAAAAAGAAAGAAAATCCCCAAAAAGAAAATACATTCCTCATCATTCAACACTTTCACCACACACATTATCACCGCTTTTGCAGAGGTGCTCAGAATACAACAGTTTAGAAGCATATACGTATAAAGATACACAACATATCCCTCCAAACTGCCAATATATATATATATATATATATACAGTGGTCCCTCGTTTTTCGTAATTAATCCGTTCCTGGAGGAGCTACTATAAACGAAATTTAAGATTTGCGAATCAATTTTCCCCATATGAAATAATGTAAATACAATTAATCCGTTCCTGACACCCAGAAGTATTAAAACAAAAAATTTTTTTACATGAAATATACATGTAGTACATAAACAATACAATGGGAAATGATGAATGAAACATTAACAGCGTAACACTTACCTTTATTGGAGATTCTTCTTAGTGTATGGGAGACTGGAGGAGGAGAGAGATTGGATTTTTTACAGTTTGGAAGGGGAATTCCCTTCCAGCAACACCTCAGGTATAAATTGCTTCTCTGGGGTTGCTTCTCTTCTCTGTTTCTTAATGCCACTAGGACCACCTTTAGAGTCACTCTAGTCCTGTCTCACAAAGTAACTGTGGAGAGAGCTCTGTTTC